TCCCTCTTTTTGAGATTTTCCCCCCCCCCCCCCTTTTTTTGAAGCTTTTACAGAAATGGAGTACCAAGATGTAAAATGGGCATTACTGAGGATTATTAAATAGTGAAACTGAGGAACCGATGTCAAGTGACACTGATAAATAGAGGTGCATCACGTTTTGGAGAGTTCAGGGCAATATTGCCTTTTTTAGTTCAACCATTTTCCAAATATATTTACAACCTCCAATTCTTGTTGTGTTATCCCGTATATATCCTTGTTATAAGAGAGAAAGCTACATGTGATAACAGATGTACAATGTATTGAGACCACTTCTGCTGTTGCAAATCTTTTGCCCTCAAAAAATTCATTTTTATATAAAGAAACTATCTATATTTCCTCACTGCCCCCATTTTATGGGTAAGAAAATGGAGACAGTATGGTTAAGTGATCTGCTCGAAGTCATACAGGAAGCCTCCAGTTTCCTCAAACCCCGTACTATCTTCAACTTCCACAAACTCATTTCCTTTACTTTACAATCTTCTTAAACAGCAAATGTCTTTTAGTTCCACACACCCCCCCCAAATTAGCCAAAATAACTGAGATCAACTCTTCCGTAATAAGGTTTCAAGGTACAAATCCTAATTTAAAGAAAAAAGTTTTTTAATCAAATAATCGGTTGTTCTGCACCTGATGATTCAGCAAATGGGAACACGACAAATGATTTAGCAAATCATATGGAAAACTACCATTCTTAGTCACACGAATTTCAGCAGCACATTGTGATGAATTTAGAGTAGTTGATACAATATAGAATATTACTTCTTCTTCCCCAAACTCAATATGCAAATTAATGGGGCCTAAATCAGGCTTTCTATTTAAAAAAATCAGATTACGAGCAAGATACTGAATTAATGAATCACACTTCAAGCGTGCCAGTAAGACATCTGCAGCAGCAGCGTTGGCTGTTCACAAGCCATGATTTCCTCCAGACTTTTCGGCCATATCCGCAGCATTCGAAGTACACGTTAAAAACATGGTAAAGTGAAAGTTTTGTTTTTATCAGCGTTCATTATTCAACCTCCCTAAATCACCTTTTAATCTGTACTTTGGAGTCTTGGGCTAGCAATCAACCATGCCAGCTTTAAGATTTCCATGAAAAATATTTTATCTAAGCATCAAACCTACTAAACAGCTTAAAACACTGCAGCATTACCCAACCTCAAACCATACTGGCTACATCACCACAACTGTTCTTTTTTCCTGTGTCTTAAAGCACGACGCAGCTCACATGTCGCAGGGTACTCTGAACAATCCATAACTGACCATGTTTTGACTGGATGTCTCTATCCATTCTACACTCACAGGGTAAGACCCAATAATCTAAGTTTTAGGTGATCTCACGAGAATTATTAAGACTTGAGAGATTTTCAGCACAGTATTAAGTTGCTTATATGAAGACTGTGCATTAGAGCATCTTTTTAATTAGCATTCGTTATATTCTAAAAACTCACAGCTCAAGGAATACTCATCTACAATAAAGGAAGAAGAATTTTAGAAGAGCAGAAAACCCACATAAAGACACACCATATACATGAGGTTTTCTTCCTTTTTTCAAGCAAGTCATACCAATCGGTGTGCTCTCCTCATTACCATGCTGACTGTGTTTGTAACAGCTGGGGAGAAATCCTGGCTGCTGTGCAATCAAAGACAAAACTCTCATTGACTTTTGTTAGGCTCACATTTCACCCATGTTGATCAAAACACTGGGAGCAGCGAGCGAGCTACCTACAATACAGCGCCTGTTACTGCCAACATGATTACAATAAGTAGCAATGGGATATTTTTGCAGAACTTTCTTGGTATGCAAGAGGGTTTACAGAGCCACACAGCTCACAGAGCGGATGACAAAAGCTTGTTAGAAGGCACCTCGTCTTCTTTCTGACCTTTTGAGAGGAGTAGTAGAAAAGCAAGATGTAGTTAAAAGCATCTTACGAAGGACAATACAGTCCAATAATTACGCTGAGGAATACCTGGTCAGTTTTAAATGAAAGAATTGCCTGAAACATGTACACTGCCAGCATGACAACAGGACTGCTTATGCTGTATCAAAAACTGACCATGTGAAACATTTTAAGAAAAGCTGTAACAAGACAGCCTTTTTTTTTCTTAAGGAGGTAAACAGCAATTGATTGCATGGTTAAACTTAAGACTTGCACATCTATGGCCTGTTTATATTAGAAATAGTCAGAAAAATAATCTTCGATAATTTATATACATAGCACATAGTTCATTTGACAACATTCTATTTAAGAATTTTCAAAAGAAGATATATATATATATATGACAATGCTGCTGCAGTCTCTCTTCTGTTTTCAAACTAGGTAATAGAACACATTAAAAAA